CAAAAAGTAAAAATAAAAAAAAAAGTAAAAAAAAAAATGCAATTTTTATTTTATTTTAACTTTTGTATTTAATTTTTTTATTATTCTTTTTTTAAAATTATATTTATTTACTTTTTGCATCCATCCAGAGGACCTGACCTAACTTTGCTATCTTTTACTATCTGGATTATTGAGCATGCATCAGGATACTTTTGGAATGATATTTACTCTGTTAGCATATTTTTTGGACTATAAGGCGCACATAAAATTCTTGAACTTTTTTCAAAAATCGACAGTGAGCGCTTTCAATAGCTGCCCACTGCACCACCTGGTGGTGGATGGGTTAAATGCAGAGATCCAATTTCATCTTTGTATGGGAACATAAAATAATGACAATACTGTACATAACACATTATTATTATTATTATTATTATTATTATTATTATCCAGTCTCTCTTGAAAATGAGTTCTCGTGACCCATTGAGACTACCTGTATAACTACAGGGTAAATGGAAAATAAAATAAATAATGCGCTTAATAGTCCGGTGCATCTTATAGTCCAAAAAATACGGTATTTATACTTAAAATAAAGACAGCAAGCATTTAAACATCCCAGGAGTTATTTTGTCCATTTTTTAATAAGAGGTAAACGTTGCACAAACTTGCTGTAGACTTCCTCTTGGCCAGAACACAAAAAGTATCTGATGTGTTGAGCCCAACCAGCCCAGTGTGGCGGCAGTCAGGAGACTTGGTGAGGTTGAACCCATGAGAAGCAGCACCACTACGGGCACCGATGTACAAACTCACTTGTGACAGCCACATGTCTGTTGCTTTTGCCTTCGTCTATGGCGTCCATGACCTCCTCAGGGCTGCACACAAAACGCTCGGTACACCCCTGAGGACACATGCACAGAACAAGAAATACTGTGTTCTTTGTTCGCACAACAGAGTCACTAAACAAAGTTACGCTTTGGAGAGATGAAGATATATTACCTAATAGGAAAGTAACCTCAAGCTTGATGTTTTAAGTATTTTTAACTTTTATCATCTGCTTATATAAATGCAGCAGAACAACAAAAACTAGGCAAAATGAAATCTATTTTAGGGTAGAATCTGTCAGGTTTTGTTGAAGTGTTTTTCATGTTTTATATCACAGCTGATGCATTTTAAAGTAAAGGCCTAGCAGTCTTTGAAGGAAAGCATGGCAGCCATTGCTTTTTTGGAACAAGTTTGAGACTAAAATCAACTTATTTTGAGAAATGTAGTTGTAACTTGTAGTTAACAAACATTTAAAACAGCTTTATGCAAGATCTCATGTTGCTAAGAGTATGTGAGAATGACCCACAGCTGCCATGTCAAATCATACACGATTGGTTGGTGCTCAGAATGTGTTGTTTCAGTCAAATCCACATCAGACTGTAGGTCAATAAAAAGAGCACTGAATTTAAGACATTTTGGTGTTTTTTAAAGTCAGCTGGCAAAATGAGTTGACTCCAAATATTTAGTTGTAGAGATTCACCCAGTGTTTACATTCTACAGGTTTTATTAAAGTTTATCCAGTGGTTCATGATACTTTTGTAACAAACAGGCGCATAAAACATACAGACAGACACAAGCAAAACCTTTATGAAGCGCCTTCGCCTTTCAGCAGTAGGTGATAACAAAACAACAATTAGGGGGAAATGAGAACGCAGCTCACCTTGACAAAAGGCACTCTGTGTTTGTCCTCGTGTACAGAAAGGTTGGTCTTTGATACTGCACAGGAAAGTACAAGTAAAAACAATGCCTGAATTAATTATGCTGTCTGTGTCAGACTGTAAAAGATACTGAAAACCTGAGCACATACCATCCAACAAGTCTCTAATTTTGTCCAAATAGATTTCAAAATATGAAACCTGTGAAAACATAAACTTGTGAGTCAGTTTGGATCAAATGTATTTATCTGAGCAACAGATAGTACAGCGGAAGGATGACATACTTTGATATGAAACTCCAGATTCTCATCCATGGAATAGATGTAGTTAAAGATGTCTTGGACAATTCTAGGAATGATCCCCATCATTTCAGGGTCATGAAGCTTCCCCTAGAGTGGAGAAAAGTAGACATTTATAAGGTATATATTGGTAGGTGTGTGTGTGTGAGTGTACATATATGTGTCTATAAATATGTGTATATATATATACATATACAGTATATGTGTTTTAACCCTTCTTACACTCTTGAAATATTCTAAACAATGTTTCTAAACTTTAAATGCTCTAAAAGAGCACAGCCTGTCATGATCTCCTGCCTTCGGCTGCTCTCTGCCACCTGCCTGCGGATCAGAGCGGATCATGACATGTTGCAGTTGGAAGCTTCTCCCTGCACATGCGCAGCAGGTGCTAAATCATTTTAAATAAAAAAATCCATGCCCATCATGCGGCTCATCCATCAGCCCGTTGTGTGTCATGTCCAACCTTTCTTTGAAAAACCGCGAAAAAGTGAATCAGCAAATGTTGAACCACAAAGTAGAAAGTGAGTGCTGTATATATATTCTAGATCTATCTATCTATCTATCTATCTATCTATCTATCTATCTATCTATCTATC